CACACACACACACACACACACACACACACACACACACACACACACACCCTTATACCGACAGTCAAACAATATGCATTTATTAAGCACTCAGTATGTAGTCCCAGGCCCTATGCTAAGCATTAGGGATACAAAAAAAAGCAAAAACATCCCATCCTTTCACAGCTTCTTGACCGGCTTGGGGATCCCAGAATTTCAAGATTGGACCTTACAGACCACCTAGACTAGCCCTTCTCACCCCCATTTTAAGAAAAGGAAACTGACATCCAAAAAACAGTAAAGTCTTAACCAAAGTCTGGGGCCCTCAGGCCAATGGCGGGGCTAGGATCGTGGTGTCCTCAGTCTTGACCTCACACCACTTCTTTAAGTAGGAACAGACTTTTCTGCCCCCAGAGGACGTGTGCCAGAGTAATCCTCCACAAAGCCTGTTTCCTCCAGCTTCCTCCTGCTCTCCTAGAGAGCCGGCGGTGCCTACCACATCTTTGTAGCCAATAATATTTGCATCCCAGCTGGCGTCAATAAATATTTGCTGAAGGAATGAGCAAGCCCAGTTGATGCTTCAATCTGAAGGGCCTCCTTGCCTCCAGCTTCCGCCCTCTCCAATCTAGCCTCCAAAAAATAATCTTCCTCACGTCCTGGTCTGTCCCATTAAAACACCTTCAGTAGCTCCTAGTTCCCCCAGGAGAAAACATGAACTGCTCATCCCAACATCTAATCTGGCCTCCACCTCTCCTTCCTCAGCCTGATTTTATATTACTAAACTCCAGCCCACCTGGACTTGGCACTGTTTCCTGATCTCCCTCTAGATTACTGGATTTCTCTCCAACTGTCTGGATTAGTCTGGCTTACTTTACTCTGACCACTTCTCTCTAGCTACTACAAACCTCCTCTCCCAGCTCAGGCCAGATGAGGCATCACCTCCTCTATGGAGCCTCAGCTGGAGAAAATGAGGCTCTACCTTCTCTCTCCCGAAATTTCCCTGGAGCATATTAGAAGTCTCTTTGGCCCTCTACCTAGTATCCTATTTATGTTGTATTTCCCCCAACTCCTTCCTCCTTCCCATTAAACTGTAAGCTCCCTGAGGGGAAGGACTATAGAATTTCCCATCTCTGCACTTTTCATTGGTACAACAAATTCTCAATAAGAAGATTCCCTCCACTACTTTGAGTCAGCACCTTCTCAATAACCATGGTCTTAGAAGAGTTGCCTGTAGCACTAAGAAGTTAAGTGATTTGCCCAAGGTCCTACAGCCAGGAGGGTGTGTCAAAGACAGAATTTGAATTCAGGTCTTCCTGATTACTCCAGCTCCGACAATACGTATTTAATAATATCGGTTGAATTTGCTGAATTTTATTGATGCCACTCACAAGACAGGCCAAAAACACCAAGAGCGAAACTCACCCATTTTTAGCGAGGTATAATAACTGCTCACACTGATAAAGTGCTGACTTAAAGTCTGTAAATCACCTTCCATACTTCAGCTCATTTGAGACTCTTAACCCTGAGAGACAGGTACTTTTACCTGTCTCTCGTAGGGTTACTTATCATAGGGTTACTTGGGTATTTAAAGAATTGTGGTATTTTACAGAGGAGCAAAGTGAGGAGGTAATGGACTTTCCATTACTGGTCACAGTAAGTAATTTGGGTTTTGAACTCAGGTTTCTCCTGATCCAGTCCCCAGCACTCTTTCCATTATGCCACAAAAACCTCTGGGAAAGAGAAGGTTTTTATCAGGGTATAAGCTATAGCATATGGAATAACACCCCTTAGAACCCAGAATGTCAGAGCTAGGAGGGCCCT